GCGCGCGGCGCGCGGGCGCTCTGGAGGAGGCGCCGCGGCAGCGGTGGCGGGCGGGGTCGATGGAGAGCGCGGCCTTCACAGGCAACGTGGCTCTCTCCCCGGATCGGTACCGATGGGTCGACGGAGAGCACGGCCTTCACAGGCTGCGTGGCTCTCTCCCCGGATCGATACCGTGGTTACCACGGGCTCCAGTCGTTGTCGGGACGTCGGTCCCGGCGGTGGGTGGCCTACCCTCACCAAGACAACTCACGCCGAGTGGGCTGCGGTGATGAGGTAAAGCTCGGTGCGGCACATGTGGGAAGCGATGCAGTGCGGCGACGTCGACTACGACCTAGATCCAGGCGTTGGATGCCCTCATCGCTGCGATCCCCGCCGAGATGCGATTCTCACTTACCAACAAGAGGATCGCGCCAAGGAGGCTTGGGACGCCATCGCGCAACACGCATCGACAAATGATCCGCGCCCAGAAGTCTACACCGCAAGCACCGCGCAGGAGTGGGAGAACACAGCCTTCAAGCCGGTGAGGGCGTTGATGACTTTGCTCTCCGTCTCAACACTACATTGCGAGAAGATGGTGCGATTCGGCGATGACACCTACGGCGAGGAGAGAGAGCGTCGAAAAGCTCTTCATTGCGCCCCCGAGAAGTACAAGCGAGATGACTCGCTCGATTGAGTCCCTCTTGGATCTCTCCACGATGTCGATCGAGGAGGCGATAGGTCGCCTCAAGGTCGTCGGCGGCGATGAGCCCTGATCTCTCTCGGGGCCCATCACCACCGGGGGAAGCTCCTTCTCACTCGGGGGCGGTGGCTTGCCGACCAAGGTGACCGGAAGAAGGGAGCCTTCTTCCGCGACAAGCGATCGCAAGCGTGGCAAGCCACGCAAAAGCGCAGAGACGCCCGGTGCCGGGCGCGAGGACGTCTTGAGGGTGATGCCCGCGAGGCGCCAGGCGGCGCGCACGGCAGCACAAGCCGAAGACGAGAGGCGCGCCGCCGCAAGCGCGCCAACTTGGCCATTGGGCCAAGGATCGCCGGCAACCCACGACGCGCCGGGCCCACGTCGCATAAGGCGGAGGAGCGGCTCGTTCATAGCACATGCAAGCATCGAGCTACCTCCGGTGACAACGCGCGCAGCGTGGCTCTCCTCCACCATGACGAGCCAAAAGCACACGCCCTCCTCGGCGCACACTCCGCAACGACAAAGGCGGCGGGTGGTGCCTCGACACCGGCGCCACCCATCACATGACCGGTCGACGGGAGTTCTTCACCGAGCTTGACTCTAGCGTCCGAGGCTCCGTCAAGTTTGGGGATGCCTCCGGCGTGGAGATCAGGACGTCGGCTCCGTCATCTTCACCGCCGTGTCACGGTGAGCAGCAGGCATCGCTCACCGAGTCTACTACATCCAGCGTTGAGGAACTCCATCATCGACTTGGGACAATTTGGATGAGAACGGTTCGGCGTGGTGGTTGAGGACGGAGTCATGAGGATTTGGGATCATCGTCGTCGCCTTCTTGCCAAGGTATCCAGAAGCGCAAATCAACTCTACGTCCTTAATGTGCAGGTGGCATAACCCCTCTGTCTCGCTGCTCGTCGGGACGACGAGGCGTGTCAGTGGCACAAGCGTTTGAGCACCTTCACTTTGAGGCCACAAGCGGCTCGATTGCCACGGAGATGGTGCGAGGCCTGCCGTGCCTCGACCATGTGGAGCGACTCTGCGGCGTCTGCGTGTTGATGAAGCGGGCGACTCCCCTTTCCCAATGGGCGAGCTTTCGAGCCAAGGAAAGGCTCGAGCTTGTGCACGGGGACTTGTGTGGCGGTGACACCGGCCACACCGGGGACGACGCTACTTTCTGTTGCTCGTCGACGACCTCTCCCGCTACATGTGGGTGATGGTCCTCGGCTGACAAAAGGAGAGGTGCGGACGCCGCGCATCATCGGTATGCATTTATGGAGGAGGAGTCTGCGCGCCAAAGTCGCTGCTGCGTCGCGCGACCAACAACGGCGGCGAATTCACAATGGCGAATTCGCGTCATCTGCTGTTGACGAGGGCATTCAGCGCCACTACTCCGCGCCGCATGACCCGTAGCGAGCGGCGTCGTCGAAAGCGCAACCAGACGGTTGTGGGGATGGCTCGGGCCCTCCTCAGCGCAGAGGGGATGCCGACTATCTTCGGGGGAGGCGGTGGTGACGGCCGTCTACATCCTCAACCGCTTCGCCTACCAAAGGCGCTCGGCGGCGGGGACGCGTCGACGAGGCTTGGCATGGGCGCAAACCGGCGGTCTCCCACTTGCGGGTCTTGGTACGCCTCGCGTTCGCCAGGAGCTTGGCCACATCGGCAAGCTCGGCAGCGGGAGCACTCGGGAGTGTTCATCGGCTACGCGGAGGGCTCGAAGGCCTACCGCATCCTCGACCAAGACACGGCGTGTGCACAGCGCATGCGACGTTGTGTTCGACGAAAAGGCGAGATGGGCGTGGGGACAAAGCGGTGGACGACGGCTCGGCTCCGACATACGACGACTTCACCGCATCAAATCGTCCACGCCGAGGGAGCTGGGGGAGTAGGCAGCTCTTCTTCGGCGAGCGCGTCTACCCCAGTCCCCAAGCCTCCACCGACCCCGGCGCCTGCTACTCCGATAGCACCACGCTCTCCAGTCAGGACCTCGACTGCGATGAGTTATTCGTCGGCTCCACCACAGCCGGCAACGCCATGCACTCCAGCACCGACAGGCACCACTCCGGGCACGTCTACCCCACCACCAGCTCGTGTCGACCACGGCCCGGTTGAGCTCGCTACTCCGCTCTCTCACGACGAGGAGCGCGTCGACGCGTACCACGACGGCGAGCCGTTGCGGTACCGTACGCTGGAGAACCTTCTCGGCGACCAGCCGATGCCGAGACCGGTGCCTCACGACCTGGAGGCGCAGTTGCACCTTGCGTGTGACGACGGCGAACCTCGGTCGTTTGCAGAGACCGAGAGACACGCGGCATGGCGCGTCGCGATGCAGTTGGAGATGGATGCGGTTGAGAAGAACCGCACCTGGGAGCTTGCTGACCTTCCTCGTGGTCACCGCGCGATCACCCTTAAGTGGGTGTACAAGCTGAAGAGGGATGAAGCCGGTGCCATCGTCAAGCACAAGGCTCGCTTGGTGGCACGAGGCTTCGTGCAGCAGGAGGGGGTCGACTTTGACGACGCCTTGGCTCCCGTGGCACGGATGGAGTCCGTGCGACTCCTTGCGCTAGCTGCCCAGGAGGGTTGGCGTGTTCATCACATGGACGTCAAATCGGCATTCCTTACTTGGCGACTTGAAGGAGGAGGTCTCACGTGCACCACCGCCGGGATTTGCGATCCCGGCAAGGAGGGCAAGTGCTCCTCTGCGCAAGGCCCTCTATGGCTTTGGCGGGCACCAAGGCGTGGAATGCTAAAAAGTCTGATTCCACGCTAAAGGGATGGGCTTGAGCAAAGCCCGCACGAGGCATCCATCTACCGACGGGGCAGTGGAGGAAATGCTCTGCTGGTGGGTGTCTATGTCGACGACTTGGTGATCACCGGCACCAAGGATGCAGAGGTGATGGCATTCAAGGAAGAGATGAAGGCCACCTTCCAGATGAGTGACCTGAGACCTCTCTCCTTCTACCTGGGGATCGAGGTGCACTAGGATGACTCCGGGATCACGCTTCGACAGACCGCCTACGCCAAGCGCGTCGTTGAAGCTAATTTGGGCTCACCGGCGCAACCATTCTCACTCCGATGGAGGAGGAGGTCTGGTGAGAGCTGCGACAAGACGGCGGAGGAGGTGGGCGCTTCTGTGATCTGCGGCGTCTTGTGGGGAGCCTTCGCTACCTCGCCCACACACGGCCGGACCTGGCATTCTCCGTCGGCTACGTTAGTCGGTTCATGCAGCGACCGACAACGGAGCACCAGCAGGCTGTGAAGAGGATCATCCGCTACGTTGCGGGGACTCTCGACCACGGCCTCTACTACCCTATGTGCCCTTGGGCGGCACACTTCGTCGCACAATGACAATGACCACGCGCATGGCGACATCGACACCAAAGAAAGCACGGCGGGATCCTCTTCTTCCTCGACAAGTGCCTCGTTAATTTGGCGATCGGTCAAGCGGCCAGTGGTGGCCTGTCCATTGCGAGGCCGAGTACATAGCGGCCTCCACCGCTTCGACTTCAGCGCTCTGGCTCGCTCGATCGCTTGGTGATCTCCTCGGCGAGAGACACTAGAGCGGTGGAGCTCGGGGTGGACAACAAGTCCGCTCTAGCCACAGCAAAGAATCCCGTCTTCCCTAACGCAGACAAGCACATCCGGGTGAGGTACCACTTCATCAGAAGGTTTGTTTGAGGAAGGGAGCATCAAGGCGAGCTACATCAACACCAAGGACCAGCTTGTGGACCTACTCACCAAGCCTCTTGGGAGGATCAAGTTCCTTGAGCTCTGCTCCAGGACCGGGATGGTTCAACTTCCCCACAAGACGACGCACAAGACTTAGGGGGAGAATGATGGATAAGTCTCTGTGTTGTGTTGGTTGGTCTGGTCTTTGTGGGGCTGCTAGTGTTATTCTTTATCTTGCCGCCACAAGGATTGTGGGGCTCTTTGGTCATTCTTTGTCTTTGCCACAAGGATTATTGGTATTCTTGCCACAAGGACAGCATCCTTGACTGGCTATGACAGCATCTTAGCATCTAGGATTAGCATCTAGAACAGCATCTTAGACTAGCATCTAGAGGACAGCATCTTAGCATCTTAGACTAGCATCTTAGACTAGCATCTTGGCATATGCTTAGCTGGCTAGCAGCCTATAAATATGTATCCCCAACCTCTCAGGTTGGCATGGTATTTGTGTGAGTTTGTGTGAGAAATAAACCAGAAAATTACCCCAGCTCCTAGTGTCATCCTCTCTCGATAAGAGTAAGAATTCTGCTACTACCGAGAGTGAGAGTTCAACGACTAACAAACTGAATCATAAAATAAGCATCAAGTTAAACTTACACACCTTCCAAAGGGAAAGGGTATGCCAAGAAGTGCTGATATAGTCACCGCAAAATCAAGCTGAAACCAAGAAGAGAAATAAGCAACACCGAATAAAACTGAAGATCCACATGGGAGAGTGATGAACCCTGACCTGCTGCATAGTGCTTACACAGACCTCTTTCCCGTGCTGTGATGTTAATTCATAAAAAGAAAATAAAATAAATCAGTGCCACAAGTATTAATGTTCTGTAAAAACAAATTAAAGCAAGAAATCTGACTAACATGAGATTTCAACAATTAACAGATTTATTATGCTCAGCTACTAAATACTAGCATACAAAGCTGCTGCATTTAATTTCCATTCCAACAGATATACAGTCAAAGAAATTAATTAAGTATTCAAGAATTAACTCCCTCTTTTGCTTTTACAAGGCTGAAAGCATCTGTTAATAATATTACCTCCGGGACTTTAGATGCCACCATCCAAATGCAACACTAAAGAACTACATGAATAAACAGAATCACCCATACTGAATGTTATTTTTCCCAAAAAAAAAAATTTAAAAAAGAGCGGCAAGAGATCTGCTCATCATGTATTCATATAGAAGAGGATGTTTTTTTCCCAAATCTTGTCTACATACAACTTCAAGTTTATTTGTTTTTGTTCTAATTATTTATAATCTTAACCTGTCAATCAACCCTTCTATTGGCATAAATCAGAAGAGCAAATGATTTACTATTAAGGTGCAAATGTGATTGACAAATATACCAGATCAACATTGCACGAACTATCATCAAGAACAGATAAGACTGCATCTGGTGGGGTCCTTGGACTCCATGCAAACAGCGATGTTTCAACCTACAGTTCACACAGGATTAAATGTGATTGTTATATACTTTGCAGCCAAACAGAAAGAAGATCACCTCTTCAGCAGTTCCCCCTCCATGGTCACCATTCAGGGTTTGACCATGATCACCCATTACCAAAAGCAAAGTATTCTCATGGGTACCGCCAGGTTTGGATAGACTTCTCAATGTCTCAATAACACCCTATAGAAGAAAATAAGAATGGACTGTACAACATTCAGAAGCTTGGAAAATAAATGTGAAGAGCATAAATAAGGTGATGTTAAATGCCTCCTAAAAGGCACAATAGAAGAATATTATATGCATGAGACAACTGACCTCCAGGATCTGATTGTATTGCTCCAACTTCTGGATCATCGGAGTTGAGTCAACACCAAATATATGCTCTGCATGGTCCTAAACAAAGTTGATCTCACAAGTTTCCAGCTAAAGATAAAAGGATGAAAAATGGCAGGTAAGGCCAAATTGAATGCACAATAACTTACCACACCAAAAAAATGTGCAATAAGAACATCCCAATCATTTTTGTGAAGAGATGGAAGCAAGTGCTCAATTACACCATTATCTACCTGGCATACAATCATAATTGATAATTCAGTCAAACTTAAAAGAAAGATCTAAGAGGTTCATCAAAAAGCAAGCACAAGAATCTGATTGACAGAATGTCATACTGTGTCAAGGTCTTTAACATTAAAGGAAGGGTATGGGAATGAAGTGTTCAGGGTACAGCTGTATCCATGTATCATCCCCCATCATGACTACTCTCTTTCCATTTTTAGCCAACTGGTTGATCACCAACGAACAGAAAACATCACACCATCACGGCTAGCAATCCAGCATGAGCTGTAGACAGATAATTGGACCTAATCGGTACAAAATTGAATGTGGGGTGAGATGAACCTGATGCATTATATTATCTTCTACTATTGCAGGAGCACCGAAACTATTGCCGACATCAATAAAGGTAGGAAGTCCACCCGTGGTGAGAGCCTGAGCATTGAGTTTTGAAACAATTCCGTTAAGCCCACGAAGTACCATTTTGGATCACATTACATTACAATATTTCTAGGAGAAACATTATATCATCATACGATTTGAATGTTAGGATCACCTCAAGGCGCTGGAGGCTAGTTGTTGGTGGATCAGCGAGTGCTTTGAAGATCCTTGCAGAGGTCTTTTCATCGGCAGCAAGCTTCTGCAAGACCTGCAGCTTGTCCATCCACGGCTGCTTCTCTGCAGCAGATCTAGCGATTAGCTAGCAATTATCAGTGCTACAGTATCCTAATTTTTCCGCTCAGAGTCAGGCACCTGAAAAGAAGGTACTCGGCGCCACGAAATCAAATCTGCGAGGCAACAAATTGTTCAACCGCATCAGCTAGAAACACGACTCGGTACGTGGATTATGAGGGATCCAACACGTGGCACCTCACCGCGTCGAGGACGACGATGACAAGGCGGTCGACGGCGGCCGGGGGCCAGGAGGCGCACCCGGGGGAGACGTCGCCCTGCGGCGAGAGGTCGTCGCGGCTGCTGTGGAGGTCGAGCTCGGTGCGGGTGAGGAGGAAGCCGCGGGTGAAGAGGTATACTGCCAGCGAATGGACCGCGAGGATCGCGACGAACAGCAGCGGCCAGTTAAGGAGCCGAGAATGGCGGCGGTGGCTCGCCGGCGGCGACATCACCTCCGATTTCGATCTGGCGCCTGGTGGCGGGCGGCAGATGAGGGTGGAGCGCGAAGTGGGCCGCCGCTTTTTTTTTTAGGCAAAGTGGGCCTCCGCTTGTTAAGCCCGGGCTGCCGCCGGAAAGGTGAAAGTAAAAGATGGGCTAATCACCACCGCACATTGAGCTAGGCCATTTCATAGCCAAAAGCCCATTCTCGGCTCAGTTTAAATATCGTGAAGTCTGAAAAAAAAGTCCACATTACCTGATTACCTTTCGCGAAAGTCCGTTTTTGCTTGTTGAACTCTAAAACCGGGCAAAACACCTCCCTCAATTTTTAAAACCATTCATCTTACCTCCCTAACCCTGTTATAAGCAGTTTTGAAAGTGGTTTTGTCTTTTTCTTTTTTATTTATTTTGGTTGAATCTTTGAAAAATCATAGTAAATCACGGAAAAATCATAAAATAGAAAATTCAATTTTGTTGGACTCCGCATGAGTAGATCTACATGGTAAACATATAATATAGTATACTTTAGTACAAAGTTTTTGTTGAGGCTTTAGATCTATGCTTTTATGTAATTAATTGAAATAATTAATAGCTACAGTTTCTAAGGTCCAATTGTGATGAAATTTTTATGATGAGCTAATTATTGTATGATTGAACTGTAGTAAAAAATTTATACTCATTCGATCATGTATAGCTTAGTCATAGATTTATTTATATTTAACAAGCATAAACCTAAATAAAATATATAACTAAGTTATACATGATCTAATGAGTATGAAATTTTTACTATAGTTTATTCATATAATAATTAGTCCACCATAAATATTTCACCATAATTGGACCATATAAACTGCAATTATGAATTATTCCATTTAATTAAAAAAAAGTATAGATCTAAAGCCACAGCAAAAATTTTGTACTAAAGCATACCATATTATATGTTCATTGTATAGATCTACTCATGTGGAGTCCAAGAAAATTGGATTTTTTATTTTATGATTTTTTATAATTTACTATGATTTTTCAAAGATTCAGCCGAGATAAATAAAAAAATAAGACAAATCTGCCTTCAAAACCGCTTATAACAGGGTCAGAGAGGTAAGATGAACGGTTTTAAAAGTTGAGGGAGGTGTTTTGCACGGTTTTAGAGTTTGGGGAGGAAAAGCGGACTTTCGCGAAAGTTGAGGGAGGTAATGTGAAATTTTTCCTTTAAAGTCTATTAGGTGCGTTACAACGGAAAGTATAATTTGTTGTATGGTGTGTTTTTATTGGATTTAGTTAGGCTTAGTTCAACTTTAAATCAATTAAATTTAAGGTCCACAATAAATGCCAGTGCAATAAAGAATCTAGTGTGTGTGTATATATATATACACTACTTAAAAAACGTGGACAGCTTTCGTCCAACCAAACATCGTGTGCGTGCCTCTCAGGAGTCCAGGTTAATCGTGTGCGCGCCTCCATGGGCCCAACCACCACCGTCCGCGCAGCACCAAGACTCCGAGACGAGTTCGAGTTCGAGTCGGTAAAAAAGGAAAACACGGAGTGTGCGCGCCTCCAAGTTACTCGTGTGTATGCCTCCATGGGCCCAACCACCGCCCGCGCACAGCACCAAGACTGTGAGTCCGAGACGAGTTCACGTCGAGTTCGAGTAGGAGGGAGACATGTTCTGTTCTGATGTTGGCAGACATGTTCTTGATCTATAAAAGCCGCTGCGGTCGTGATAAACTCATCCGTCTATTTACAAGGTGCACGCAAATCAAGGTCACCAGACCTTTTGCTCGTTCGTAGGGTTCAAGATGAAAAAACTCCAAAGAAGTATAAACAGCAAATGAATAGTAAAAGTTGATCTCAAGTTTTACACAGAATTCAAGGTTCCCAATAAAAAGTGTATTGTTAGCTTCTTATCTTTTCCCAAACAATGCACAAATTAACTGAAACTTATAAAATCTATATAAAATCAAAATCAAATCCAGAAATTATAATTCAAAGTTTGTTAGGTTCCTTTTCAACACAGAGAGTGTAAGGTGTCATTGCGCATGAAATAAAAATCCTGAAAAGTCTAAGGGCATGTATATAAGCTATATATGGACAGTCTGCTTTAAAGTCAGTTTTAAAAGCTTAAAAATTGTCAACTTCAAAGTTAGAAATATAAAATCTACATGTGTGAAACGAAAGAGGCTCGATGTCAGGGCCATACTCGATCTGCAACAAAAGAATTGACATATGCGAGAATTATTTTGAATACGATGAAAAAAACATAAATGCATTTGGAAATAGTTTAAGTTGCCAATACAAAATTGTTTAATAGTTTTTTATTGTTTTTTGCAAAATGATCAAATCCTTAGCTTAGATGTGAACAAAATTCATGGTCACCGTGGCATATATCTAGTGAACTGAAAAATGGACAGGGGATTGATTGAATTTAAATATGTGGTTATCTACTTTTATTGTGAGTTTATGAAAGATGTAAAGCAAGCCACATACTCGCACGCCCATCTTGACGGAAATGGGTCCAGCAGTCAGGCCACGAAAATGGAAGAGTATGGAACGAGAGATGGAGATACACAAGATGACGGAGAGTGAGAGGAGAGAGAGAGAGAGTTTCGTTCTCAACAAATATGCTCGTGCGTTATAATGGAAGAAAAAAGTATCAAATATTTAAGAGAAAAACAAGGACTGAAATAATACATATATCTTTATATTTTACGCTTTGTATAAAATTTCGTCTAGAATTGTGCTTGAAAAGATATTTGCTAGACTAAACTGAACAACCAACTCCATATTTCAGTCCACAGTTTGATTGATTGAACCATATCGGTTGAGCAAGGTTGTAACAATAGGATACGTTCTATTTCTAATTAGAACTGTACCAATAGTTTGGTGATGAAAAAATATATTTCTTAAAGAAAAGGTCAAGGGCTTAAAGGCTGTATAATCTTATTATATTTGTTATTATATTATTGTTTATATTTATGGGGAATGGCTAAATTAGAACGGGAAGTTGAAAACTGACGATTGAAGTGGATGCTTATAAAGCTTGGAAAAAGAACGGACGAAACCAGTTCGAACAGGGACCCGTGGAAAAAAAGAGTATACCTAGTCCAGATGAACCTTCGATTTGATTGTTGTTTTTATTGAAGAAGATATGTATGGTTGGGGTAGCGTTCACGACGGCTACGGTGTGCTCGGGACGTTCAATGCTAGCGCACCAATGGCTTCTTGTCTGGGCTGTAGCTGCTCAAAAGCACTGTACCTACAGTATTTTTGTATCTCAACCTAGCAGCAGCAGCTCAAATGGTCTGCTTTAAGATATTAGCCGAACATGTTTTTTTTTGGTGAGTAACCGATATTATTCTAACTCATGGAACGTGCACACGGCCAGCCTGCCTAGCACAAGAACTGGCGCAGGTGCTAGCGCTGCCTCTCTCTTCTTAGCCATGCAGTTTGCTCGTTTCTCCTTTTTTCTTTTTGTGTGATGTGATTTGAATTGTTTTGTATTATTGATTGATTCTAAGCTAAAGCATCTGGAGGAGGACTCGGTCTCTTGCCGGGCACCAACGTCAACGCATCTTGGTAGGACTGGTCTCTTTGCCGAGCACAAACTTCAGATTACGGGCATCAATTATGTTATGGGAAGTAAAAAGCCGGGCTGAAAGAGAGGCTTTGCTATACAGAAAGTAAAATAAGATTTTGTCTAATTTATTTTCTATTTGAATTATGATTTCTATTCCTATTCAGTTTATTCATGCTCGAAGAGATCTATTTATAAGACGCTTTTCCTTCCCCGACCTGTTTTGAGTATTGTGCAAACCACATAAGAGAGCCTATGCAAGAACTGAACATGAGTAAATTGCACTGTACAAGTCTAGATACGGGATAATACACGTAATCAACAAAATCCACAATGTATATCTATGCAGTAGCAAAAACTTAGCCAGAAAAGTGGAAATGACTTATAATTTACAACAGAGCGAGTAAAATGTAGATCGATACAAAATATTACAAAATCGTTCAATATATGTACCGTCATTAATAATTGGAATTGGAAAAATCACATGCGGAGTATTTCTTTAGTACAGCTGTAGAAGAGTCGGTTTAATTCAATATAGAACGTCTAATCGAGGACCAAAATGAATATTCTAAAAACCATATTTATCATTAATAATAAAAAGGCAACGGGTTTGCAACAGAGCGAGTAGAATGTAGATTGATACAAAATATTACAAAATCGTTCAATATACGTACGGTCATTAATAATTGGAATTGGAAAAATCACATACGAAGTATTTCTTTAGTATAGCTATAGAAGAGTCAGTTCAATTCAATATAGAACGTCTAATCGAGGACCAAAATAAATATTGTGAAAACCATATTTATCCTTAATAATAAAAAGGCAGCGGACAGCAGCTTCGCCGATGCGTTCCGTGACGCTGCGCATTTCAGCGCGGGCCGGCTTGGATCGAGTTCCAGAGGGAGATAGACGCGCAGCAAAGAGGTGGAGGAATTTGACTCCGACACGAGATGGAGTCGAACTCCGACCAAAATAACTGTTTAGTTTTGAGTTTTTGATAGAAGAAAACTCATCTAAATATATTACCGTACGAAAATGAGACTGTCATCATGGGTCACAATTGAAGATTGTTTTTTACGTATTATTGTGGAAGTAAATTGGAAAGTATCCGTCTCCCTAGTCCGTACGCGACTCCATTGCTTATCTTTTTCTTTTCCTTTTTAGTTTCCTGAGCACTTGCTCTATGCTATTTTTCCCGTAATTTGTGTACTATTTATAAATTCTTGTCCCTCCTGTTTCTTTGGTTTGGATTCCTATTCATGTTACTCGTTATGGATGGATCTATTCGTATTAGGATTCCTATACCTATCAAGTTGCATTAAGATTCCTCGCATATGGCATAAATAAAACAGCCGAGCTTCGACCACCGGTAGTTAGGGGGAAAGGCGGATGAAAAAAATGGATGGATGAAAAAAATTGCCAAAAACTTTACTTTTTTAT